CCCAATTACATGAATTTAAACGTGCTACTAGACTGGCATCTAGGTCCAACCTAGGTCTTCCTCTTACTTCCTCTTACTTCCTTTCCTGATAAATATCAGGTCATCCCATAATTTCTGTCCGAATTTTGAATAAAGAAAACAAGTGACCAAATGTTACATTTAATTACAGATTCAATCAACAATGTATTTTCACTGATTATCTATGACTTCCTTCCATCTATTAACAAGCTTACTAATTCCATTACTGTAAAATTCTTTTGGCTTTGATTCGAAGAACTCACAAATGTCAATTTTAACCTCTTCCTGTGATACAAAAGCTGTTTCTTCCAAATGATTCTGTAAGTTACGAAACAAATGGTAGTCTGAAGGATCAAGATCGGGAGAATAAGGTGGGTGAGTAATTTTCTCCCAACCAAGTTCTTTGATCTTTTGTGACGTGAGGCACCCATTTTCCAAGTTTAGGAACTTTTCCAAGTTGTTGAAGATAACGATGAACAGTTGTATGGTTTGAACTGAGAACCACTGCCAATTCCTCAACTGATAAAGCAGGATTTTCTTCAAAAGCTGCTTCAAGAAGCTTTTCATCAAACTCAATCGGACGTCCGGTTCTATCTTCATCTTCAAGGGTGAAATCTCCACCTCTGAATTTTGCAAACCATCTTCTGCAAGTTCTTTCATTCACACATTCCTCTCCATAAACTGAGTGAATGTTTCTAGCCGCTTCGGCTGCTGAGTTTCCTTTCTTCAACTCATAAAGCATTATGTGCCTCAAATGATTCTTGGGTACTTCCATGTTAGCAGGGTTTTAATCAAACAAAATTTAACTTTATTGTTGTCTGAAATAAAATTTGATCAGTTTAAATGCATCTAAACATAAAAATAACGTTCAGCTCCATTAGACATTATAAAATACACAAACAAAAAGTTAAAATTCGGACAGAACTTATGGGATGACCTGATAGAATAGTCAATAGTCATCTTCTAATGCATTGATCCCGTTCTTCTTTTTATTCTATCAGCAATCCCCCACCCTAATACCAAATCTTTTCCCTTATTTTCACTCTCTGTAGCCCCCTGCTAGTGGCACTCTTGCCTTGCTTGGGGTAAAATGCTTAAAAAATTGATGGATTTTTATTTATCAATCCGATCAGCGACGCTCGTCAAGGCAGAGACGATCTAGAGCATGTTGGAACTAACGACGCTGTCCCATGCCAAACGTAAACACAGGTTCGAATCTTGCTAAGGGGCGCATATTTTTCTAATAAGATTTATAATAGATGAAAATAAAATAGAAATACTGTTTAATAAATAAACGAAATGTCTACTCAAATATGTGTATCCACTAAAAATAACGTTTAGTATATATATATATATATATATATATATATATATATATATATATGTATTGTGTATATGTAGGCAGCAATTTTTCATTGATGCATGTTTCATTAGATAATATAGACAAATTGTGTCTGATAAGCTTAATAACATTATCATTGAAAGACGAAAGGAAATCACCATATTGATACAAGTTCAAATCCGATCTAAGCTTTCCGCTTACATAAGCCATTATCAAAGATGACAATTACATTTCAATATATCAAACAATACACAGACGAAACAACAATGATAGTCTGTTTTTGTTGCATGAAAAATTACAAAGCAACGACAAACTCGTATATACGAGACGCGGAAACGAAAATCGCATCCCAGCTCGTGACGTCACACATGACAATGCGAGACTGAAAACGAGAAGTATTAGGTCTTTCAATGATAATGTTATTACGCTTATGAGACAATATGAAAGGAACTTACTTAAAATAAATAGACACAACTTGTATATATTATTTAATGAAACATGCATCAATATATATATATAAATGATAGAAATTATTAGGAGGATTTGATAATTATAATTAAGTAATTCATAGAGTCTGAAAGAAACCTCAACAGAATGCAGAAAGCACTGGACGGCCGTTTCGTCTTATATTTGGGACTCATCAGCAGTACGCATCCACTACCGAGAATTGAAACCCTGACAGTTGTCAAGCAAACGGCATACCAACTGGTCCACCGGGCTTCGGTAACGAATCGATTGCAAATCAGACTCAATATAGCCCGCTCGCTCACATATTTCGTGGTGGAACTTTTACTGAGTTCTCTGTAACCATAGGACTGTGTCCCCTGGAGCCACGACTACTATCACCAACCGCTCACTCATTAGTAGCCGGTTCAAGCAATGGTATGATGTTTGCTTGACAACCTAACTGTCAGCGTTTCAATTCTCGGTAGTGGATGTGTACTGCTGATGAGTCCCAAATATAGGACGAAACGGCCGTCCAGTGCTTTCTGTTGACATTCCTTTCAGACTCGATAAATTACTTAATTATATATATATATAAAGAATCATTTTACTTGAACGTTACCTTTATTTATTTTCTTAGTAGATACTCGTATTTGAATAGATGCATATTCGAGAAATATTTTTCGAATATTCAGGCCAATAGATGAAAATAAATAGTTTTAATTTATTAAACGGAGCTTTTACTCAAATATCCACTAAAAAATAACGTAATTTTTATTTTATATATATTTCATTAATAAATTGTATCTAGGGTCCGTTGTCGCTTTATTTGAGTTATCATATACTTTAATTTGATTACATCTTACGTAAAAATATTCCCCATAATGGGGGTAGTGGTTGGTTTTGAACTCTTTAAAAACTTTTTTATTATTACTTGCAGCACCGTCACTTGACACTTGAAGTGTTGAAAGAAAATGGCTGGTTTTGAAGGGATGTTATAACATACTTATGGTATAATTTTTAAGTAAATATTATTTAGTCTACTCTGTACTGAGCAATAGTGTTTTTGGTTACTGGAAGTTTATTCCATCTATACTAACCTTGTATTCGGATATATATATATATATATATATATATATATATATATATATGGGATAACGAAATATACATTTTTATATATCAAGAACAATTTTGTTGGAAAGATGTATGACAGTGGAAACAGTTTTCTTGTGACGCGTTTCGTTCTTTAGGACTTCATTGGGCTAAGTTTGTTATGTCGGTGCGACGGCACATGCGCACGAACGAGGGATGCTGGGAATTCTAAATTTTAAATTATTTTTCATTTTTGAGGGATACATAATCTAACCGACCTCATTTAGATTCTTTTTCTATCACTGTTGTTATTAGATATCCCCCACTATGATAATAGAAGTTCTGCCAGGAAAGGTGAAAAGTTGTAAAAGCCCGGGCGCAAATTTATTGTTGATGATCTTGCGATCAATGCACTCTCTAAAAATTTTCGCTCTGCCATTGGAGATTTGTCTTCAGCTGGGCTTGTTAACACTTTCACTGCTACTCATTTGCCCAGTGCTGCCCCCATCTGGACAGCCATTTTTTAAAGAAAATGCCAAATTTCAAGCTACATATTTTATCACACAGAAAACTGGCACCAGTGTGTTTTACAGCCTTCCATTTTCATGGATATACCTGGGTCTACACATGATATCTTTTGGAGCATTGTCCTTTCTGATTTGACGATAGATGGCGCAACGGGACACTCATACCAGCGGTATGCAAAAAAAACGTAGGTTTCCGTACTTAGCCAGCTGGAGCAAGATAAGAAAAACTAAGATCTCCATAGTTAGCAGCGGAAGTGTTAAGCTCTCTGCCCGAAGAGCATCCTCAGTCGAGGCTCTGTCGAAGGGCAGAGTCTTGTCTCGGGAAACACCTACCCGATCCCGGGGTGTACGGGGAATTTTGGCTGAGCCTGCGGGCTCAGGAACCCCACATTAAATTCGGCCTTATGCCACATCTGATTGAGTGGGGCAGTTGGTAGATACCCTCTTAGTGAATTGTTTCTCCTTTGATTAGAGTAGCATTTTTTATGTCAAAATTGTGCTCAGTCTCGTTACTGAGAGGAAATAATGCATTTAATGCGTTGTTCTGTAAGATGTACCTTTTATGTTCATATAATCTTTTATTTAAATTCCACGAGGTTTCTCCTATGTATTTTTTGTGACAATTTTTACAGGCGATCGAGTAAATACCTCCTTCAGGTTTTAGCATATTGTTTTGTTTTGTAATGACTGAGTCTTTTATTGTTTTAGATATAGTTGTAAAAAGAATATGTTGAGTTGAGATAAATTCTTTGTAGTTATGATAGAGTTAGTTGGTTTGGACAATATATTTTTTGATTCATTGGGTTTATCAAGTGGGGGGCGTTTACACACACACACACGCACGCACACACACACACACACACACACACACACACACATATATATATATATATATATATAAAATCTGGGGCGCAGATTTGTGTTCGATAAGATTCGACCGAGACATTCTCAAGGATTTTCTGTCTAAGTTCCTTTCTCTTTTAATAAATATGGCATTCTTTAAATCGAAGTTGTGCTTGAACGTATTTCTTTGTATAAGTAATGTACTTGATAAATTGTTTGGTTTGGTTTAGTTTGTGTTGTTTTACGGCATATCAACCTCTATGGTTGTTTAATGTCGACAAGATTTTTATTGCTGGTAATATTTTTTTCCAAAAATGTATTGCTGGTATTTTTTCAGTGTATAGCGGGTAATCATTTTTTTACCAAAAATGTATTGCGACTCCATTTGGGGGTTAGCTATTTTACCCATAGCTGGGACCCTGACAGGTGCTACCACCTCGAGTCAGGGTGAACCTGGGAACACCAGCAGTTAGGTGGTTCCCCGCTCCTCAAAGCCTCCTGATCAGAGGCCTTGCTGTTGGACGTAGTTTATCGTCTTACCCAGGACGCGGATGTAGTTTATCGTCATACCCAGGGCGCGGATGTAGTTTATCGACATACCCAGGACGGTGATAAATTGTTGCGTAAAAGATCCTTTTTGTGTTCATGATGTGTGTGTGTGTGTGTGTGTGTGTGTGTGTGTGTGTGTGTGTGTGTGTGTGTGTGTTTCAGTTTTTTGTCGGGAAACTACTCACCTGCATCGTTCGGGAGTCATACAATCGAACAGCCAGGTCAGTCCCTCCGTAGCAAAGGTTTGACCATCCAGGCAAAAATCCATTACATTAATTTCGTTAGTAGGTTCTGAAAAGATAGAAAACAAAGCGTCAGATCGGACGGTAATGCCTGTATCTGGTTTCTCAACGTGGTCTCCGATCAGTGGGAGGCCAAAATTAAGACTAATACAAGAAATAACAGGGATCACTATTTATTTAGGCTGTTTTAATCTTAGTGAGAGTACGTATTTTATTGTATACTAGTTGTGTTGAATACTAGTCCGTGCGGAAGCCTAAGACTAAAGAATCCTCTGGTCCAACTTAGAAAACAGCAATGATAATTTTGTAGAAATATCTTTGAATTATCAATTTACTCCATGGAACTTCAAGACTTCACTTTAACTAGCTTCGGGCTATAAAAGAACTACTTAAGTCGAAAGTCCGATTTGGGCCGAAATTCCAATTCAGGCCCAAAATTGAGTTCCTCAAATGACAAACTCCGTGGAACTTCAATTGAGTTAAGTTCTTCAAATCACAAACTCTGTGGAATTTCAAAGATTCACGTTACGAAAGCCTTAACTCTGATTTCTTGGCATTTTGAAGAAATTAAATTGATTTCCTCATTTCATTAAGTTTTGGAGATTTTTTAAACTGAATTTAAAACAAAATAAAATTAAATTCACAAAGTTTTGGCGTTACTTTAAACTCAAAGTAAAAACATCTAAAATCAAAATTTTTTTCCAGGTATTTTAAAATTTTAATTTTAACTTTTCCCTCTTCATCCGCTAAAACCATACAAGGTTCAACGACAGCTGCCCTCAATTGTCTCCAAGCAAAAACCGTTTGGCAGAGGGAAGAAAATTTTGGAGAAGATGCAGCGTGGTTGGACGAGAATTTTTTTACTGAGTAGGTTGTGGTCAACTACTAAAATGACAGGGTTCACCAGGCAATATTCCAGAAGGTTTCAGAACACATTTCAAGCGACTGAAACGAACTGGTGTCATGGTTTGGGCTGTTGTTGCTTCTGATATTTCGAAATCGTACTTGGCGTTCATTGAAGAAAGAGTACAAGTGAATAGCAGAATTTAACATCAAATGTTGGAGTGAGGTGTATTGCTATGATCGTCATCCAAATTTAGAAGTCGCCATGATTTCATTCAAATTGAAGCTCTCGTACACAGCCACTTTGACGCATAACCGGTGAAAGGAACATTTCCGTGAATTTTTTTGACAATTCAATTTGGGCTACACTCAAGCTCTGATATTAATCATATGGAATTTGCGATATGGCCCGTATTGGCGAGCGATGTCCCATGTGTCACATACTCAAGTATATCAGTCCAGAAATAAGAGTTTATGACTTTGTGGTAAAATCTCAGCGAAGAGGTGATGAAGAAATCATGCATATCAGCTGAGATGAGATTAATGGCTATGGTGAGTGTCGAGTTCCAATTCCAGTCGGGTTCGTTATATTCACTTACGCACAAATATCCTTGGGAAAAGTATGAATCCATCTCTTCTCCCCCAGCTATCGGTTAATTAGTACGACATATATCAGTAAATCCTTATTATCACCCCATATTCTTACAATCTAAATACTATTTTCTGGCTTTGAATAATCTACAAAAGGTTGATAATCCGTAAGAACAAATCAATCAAGCTAAAAAAACACAAACAAACAAACAAAAAAAAAACAGTTGTAGACAGTGTTGCTAGATTGGACTACTTTTGAAAGCCCGAAACTATCATATTTTGAATTTCTCTACTTTCAGAAGAATCAGATCTGTCTTGGCCTATTAATATGAAGAAAAATAGTTCAAATGTAGTAGCAGTGGGCTTTGCAATATATAAACCATTCTGCCTGAAGATCATAAATATTGGATTAAAAGTTTCTTGATAAGAGGGAAATCATTTTTAATTTATAATTTATCATAAACAAGTCACCAACTTTTTGTCATATTTAATTTCATATCTATGTATCTATATATACATATATATGGATAAATTGTCGACTAAATTATGCAAAAATGAAAATAACACTGAGATCTCATTTTAACAGATATATTTACCAAAATTACACAAAAATATCTTGAAATACTAAAGAGTAAATCTATTCAATAAAATCGCCATTGGTTTCAACCACGATCTAAGGTGACTTCGGAATCTTCTGTATCTCTTCTGGGCAGTTTCCGTGTTTAAGTTGGTGAATGATACTATAATCTTTGCCTTCAGTTCATCTTTGGTGTTACAAGGAGTTTTGTTGATCTCTCGTTCAACTGGGCCCCACACATAATAATCAAGGTGTTTCCAGTCTGGGGAGTTAGGTCTATGTAGGGACAAGACTAAACGCCTAGAGAACAGTGTAGGGACTAGACTAATTGAAAACAGGACAATGTCGCGTGAGGTGACATCAAGGACAGGACAATGTAGGGACAAGACTAATCGGCAAAAGTACTGGGTATCATCCTTATAGCAACTAAATGGTCTTCGTTCTTTTTGTACAAAACTACCGCAAAATGGGGAGAAAAAAACTACTTACCGTAAAATATCTGATATTTACCTGTGTATAATGCAACCGATCACCGAAAATGCATAGTTTTTAACATCGTCAAAAAATTACCTGTGTTTTGTGCGCTCCCTTATATTTTTGCGTAAGAAAACTGATCATAAAAACTTACACGATACTCGATAATATACGGTACTTTCAAAATAAACTGGGCGAAATTGAGCTACTAGAGTCAATTCATGTGATCGTAGCGCAGGACTTTTAACCAATTGGCTACTGGTTAGCTCAACCTAGCAGACTGGTTTTGAAGTCTATCAAGTCTGTTGTGACAGACGAGACAGAAAACAAACGAACAATAACACTGTGATTTAATATAAACATTATTGTAGAATGCAAACATAACAAAGAAAAAATGAATTTAAAAATTCATCGTCATATTTCTTTAGAATGAATTCAAAGCAATCACTTCAAAATAACTGACCTTTCACCACTTCGAGCACGACGCCTTCGTCAGTGTCGCATGTCAACACCAGTCCGTCTGCTGTAGTCGCTAAAAATGTACTTTCATTGTCTGGGTGAAATCTCATGCACATCACGGCCTCTCGTCCCAAACGGGAATCCCTCAAATCGTGCAAAAGATCACCAGATTCTGTCGAAAAAAGCTGTTGATGAAATCAAGCGAAAAAGTAAATTTCCGATTAGGTCAATGATACTAAACACCTGATACTCATTCAATACTGCTAACAAAAAAAAGACTTTTAGTTAATTAGGCAAAAACCTAAAACAAAAACAGATCTTTGAAAAGGGGCAATGTAACGATTATTGTTATTGTTATTTTACAAACTTTGTGGGTGGATTCCTCACATCAAAACAAGGACAAAAATCTATATACACATATGTCCGCAAATCCTTCCTTTTTTTGAGTTATTAAATTTCAAGTTTACGATAGATGCGGTTAAATGTAAAGTCCAAGTAAACTTGAAGAATTCAGAAGTATCAGATTCTCCAGATCCATGAATTTATGCGGTTAAATGTACAATCCAAGATACAATTCAAAAATACTTTTACAAACTTTGTGGGCGGGTCCCTGACACCAAAAAAAAAACAAAAAAACAAAAGTCCATATACACATATGTCCGCAAATCTTTCGTTTTTGAGTTAAGTTTAAAGTTTACGGTAGATGCGGTTAAATGTAAAGCCCAAGATTCTATCTTTTTATGTGCCATGTCCTTTGAGGACGTAGGCGATCATGGCTCCCCACCTCCCTCTATCCCTTTCAGCTTTCAAAAAGTTCCTTCTTTCTGCTACCTCCCCCAGACCATGTTCTGTCAACCACTAGCTTAAGCCCGCCAGGTATGTTGCGCATTGTTTTCCCTTGTCTCTCTTTCTCTCTATTCGAATCGTGAGTATCAGATTCTCCAGACCCTTCTTCCTCATAATGTGTTCCAGAAACATCAGCTGCCTCTTTCTGATGTTAAGTATAAGCCTCTTCCTTTTTTGCATCCCCTCTAAGACCTCATCGTTGCTCATACGCTTAGTCCATGATATCCTTAGTATCCTTCTGTAGAACCACATCTCCGTCGCCTCGAGTTTCTTCTTCATCTTTGAGGAAATCGTCCAATATTTGCTGCCGTAAAGAAATACAATTCAAAAATACTTTTACAAACTTTGTGGGAGTGTTCCTGACACCCAAAAGGACAGAAGTCCATATACAGATATGTCAGCAAATCCTTCGTTTATTTGTTATTAAGTCTAAGGTTTACGATAGACTCTGTTAAATGTACAATCCAAGATACAATACGATCCAACAACAAGTTTTGGATGTGTAAATTTGTTTTTCTATATCTTCCAAATGTTGCCATCGGTAAACAAGACTGAAGAGACAAACAACGGATCGGCAGTTTGCGCAATAAACCATTGGCAAAAGTTCTCACGTGATAAGTGATCAAAGGGCGAAAGACCCTGCACACGGTGTAAATGATACGGATACAGTAACTGCTCATGAAGTACCCCACCATGAGGTACTATGATATGTACGACATCCTAGGGCCAATTGATGTATACTGATACCTGGATCGTCTCCGACAGCTTGTAGAATGTGTTGTTCGTAGTCAGGCGTACAGAGGATCTCGTTCTTCCTCGATCCATAGTTTGTGGTGTCACGGATCCTGTCTCAGCAATGCGACAATAAGCAGCAGCAAAGATTGAATGACTCGGATGCTTTCGGTCTGGAAACGCAATCTGATACAGCCATGCAGCCTCGCGTCCATTACCATCCGCGCGGCCGTAGGTAAAACTCATATCTGCCTGTTCATGATATGAATATCCTGCTATTGTTTAACAAAACACTTCTCAGTTGACTCATTACTACACACAGTGAAGACAGACTAGCCACAAATGTACACGAATGACAAATGTAACCTAGTCTACATGGCAACACAGTTCCATCTACTTTCTTTAAAATTAATAGCTCAAAAACGAAGGATTGTAGACATATTGTCCTTGTTTTTGTGTGGGAAACAACGAAAAATATTGTAAAAGTATTTTTGATACACCCAGCATATAAACGGTGTTCCATTAAGACGGATTATCTATAAGGGTGTTTCATTAAGACGGATCAAAGTCAGCAGTAAATAAATCAGTGTTATTGATGAACATTTATTTATTTTTCTATTGGATCATGTTATTTAAGTCATGGAGATTATGTGTGAAAAATAATATCGCCCAAATGTCCGCCAAATCTGAAGAAAAAAGGAAAAAATCATTAGACGTTTAAACTTAATTCACATTTAAAATCGGTCCACGAACATCCTATATAAGAAATCAGTCTGAATGTCAAGGTATTCCGGGTCTACGATAGCTGAATACCTATTTAGTTGTAAGTATTCTTCGTCCGATATTAATACCTATGTTCTTAACCCTTCATTAGTACGGTGGGGTTTTTGAACACCCCCACAATTTTTTCCCTTAATATTTAGCAAGGCGCAAGTCAAATATTCATGGCCAGTCAAGTAGCTTTCGGAAAACCTCTGTTAAGATACGCCAAGGAATTTCTGGTTTTAATTATAATATTTGTATGAATTGTAAACACATGGAAGATTGTCTGAAATACAAAACCCACAATAACCTACTTTAATTGCTTGGAACGTGAAAATAAAACAATAAAAGAGGAGCCGGACTGATCATGAATTAGTTTAAAAGATCATACGGCAAAAAAAAAAAAAAAAAATAAATAAATAAAAGGAACCTATATTGCATATTTGAATTTTGGAAACTTATAAATTAAATTTTCAATAAAGGACTTCTAATCTTAAAAGAAACTAAACTTTTTTCTTTCACTTTAATTTCTCATATAAAACAAGAAAGAACACTCAAGACAATACATAGCAAAAAAATAAGAACTAAATGATATAACTATTAATATTTTAAACGAAGAGGTTTAGTCGCCAGTAATATATATATATATATATATATATATATATATATATATATATATATATGTAATAACACAAGTATGTTAAAATATCACTACAAAAATACTCATTTTGTTTCAACACTTCTGGTGTCTTGTCAATTGATCTATCTATCTATATATATATATATATATATATATATATATATATATAAATTATAACACAAGTATGTTATAACATCACTACAAAAATACCCCTTTTGTTTCAACACTTCTGGTGTTTTGTCAAGTGACCTCTCTCTCTATATATATGTATATATATATATATAATTTTCTGTGGGGTACATAATTTTATAATAGCAATAAAAAAAAGGTTAGACTTATTTTACTTTTCATGATTAAAATCGAGAAATAAAACAAACACAGTTGACAGGTTTCGCCTCACTCGACAGAGCTGGACCGAGGGACTGTATATTGCAAGAACAATAAAACATAAAAAAATCGATGCGTAATATTAATGAAAGCGGAATCCAATTTAAATTGAAATCACGTTTAGTTCTAACAGATACTCCCTCTGTTTACAAAGGGAGGGCTGTCTGGACTGAACATAAATTGTTTCCAACATCTTTATCTGCAATATAGAGCGAGCACGACTCAAGATGGTAAACGAGTCAAGGCTAAAGTTAGCGGCACAATTAGGGTTTTTAATAAGATGCTCCGCGATGGAGGAACCATGTGTGTTGTTCAGAACGTCCTTTATCTGATTTATTTGAAACTAAACCTAGTATGGTTAATAAATGACCAATGTATTTTCGTTTGCCTTGTCTGGGCACAGTAAGTGAGAAATTCACCAACTAAATTACCTCTGCAGTAGAGCATTGTTATCTCTCTTCTAGTGTGCGTGTTGTGTTTTCTACTAAATCTGTTTTGACGTCTACTCGAAAGGATGTTCTACCCCACCGACCACCATATTAATAATGTTATCATTTTAAATGTACAGTGCTGTTCGATAAAAGTGATTCACCTGATTTTTTTGCTTAAAAATGTTTTCGCCTATTGTTTTTGGGGTCAAACTAATTTTTAATCTTACTAATATAAAGACCCCTTCCCGATCACCTAGTAAAAAAGTTTACTCATCCTAAGGTATTCTATTGATAATTATAATTTTTTATATAAATGAGATTTAGGGAAAAACTCTGTGCAAAAAAAAGTGACTCACTTATTTCCTGCAACTAGTAATCAATAGAAACATAACCGAACAGCTTTAAATAAAGAATAATAGAGGTATAATTTATATATTTATGATAGGTAATATAGTTTGAAATATTTCATAATCTATGGGTCCTCTTTTATTTTGAATGGCCTTTTCAACCCTTTTTGGCATTGACTCTCCAAGCATTGAATTCCATTTGGATATGAAATTCACAATCAAATCCTCTTTGTTGCTCAACTGCTTTCTCGAGAGCCTCTACTTTATAATGCTCCATAAGTTTTCCATGGGGTTGAGGTCAGGAGACTGGGGCGGCCATGTCATAACACTCACCTGCTTCTCATCAATGTATTCCTTCATCAATTTTGATTTGTGTCAGGGAGCATTATCCTGCATAAAAATGAGCTTGGTGGGGCCGATTTGCACCCTTTCAGCAGAAGGGAGCAGACAAGACTCTAAAATTCTCTTGTACTGCTCGCTCCTGAGGGTTTTTTCAATAGGTTTTAAGAAACCAGTTCCATGAAAAGAAAAGCATCCCCAGAACATTATACTGAACGGATGCTTGACAGAACTTACTGCTAAACTCAAAGAGCTTTCAAAGCTTCTTTTTCGGATTTTAGATCGCTTATCTTTTGAATTTAGCTCAACTTTCGTTTCATCGGAGAAGAGAACATTTAGTAAAAAAAAAAAAAACATCAGGTGAGTCACTTTTAACGAACAGCACTGTAGTTGCAATGCAGACTACATAAGTAGAACAACCCAACGTGTAGATGCTAGAATAAAGCAGTATATACCTAGAAAAATCAGGAATGGAACATTCCAACTAAAAGACGTTCTTTCTTCTACCGTATTTGAAATCTTGACTATTTTTTTTTCTATGTTCCATATCGCTTCAGGATGTTGACGATCATGATTCTCCACAACTTCCCTGTCTCTTGTATCGCTAAAAAAATTCTTTATCTCCCCTAAACCCGGTTTGGAAAATGCATTTACAAAGAACTCGTTAGGTCGTTTATGCGGTTTTCCTCTGTCCTTGTTGCCTTCAATATATCCTGTAAGTGTCAAATTTTCCAAGCCCTCTTTCCTCATTATGTGGCCTAGAAATTTAAACTGTCTTTTCTAATGTTAAGTAAAACTGTCCTTTTTGTTTCTATCTATATCTATAATTCTCAAAATGTGTGTGTGTGTGTGTGTATGATCGGATGTTGTTCATGCGTTTCCACAGTTTTCATCCGATTTCGATGAATTTTTTTTGTTTGAGAGATAATTCTTCAGTGCCGGTTTTGAGTCCAAATTGGCTGGAAAAAATTACAAGCTTGAAGGCGAAAAATCGAACAAACTGGTTTTTGACACTTTGCGCAAAAATCAAAGGCAAAATTTAATGTCTGTAAAAAAATTAAACAATCAATTTAGAGAGTTGAAATATAACGCAAAAGATTATTAGAATCATAAAAGAATTATAAATTTAAAAAAATATCGTATATTATTTTATGACGGTCCATGTAATAGGTTCCTTCCTTGCCATACTGAGAACGCAAAAACAGCCCTTTTCAGAGCCCCCCTTCAAATTGCTACCCCCACCTCCATTTTGGAATGTGCCTCAGTTGCACCGATTGTTGTTACTAATATTGATTTTCGGGTGGGCTGACTTTAAACTTAAACTGCTCCAACCAAATGGCAAAAATTCCCAGTAATGAAACACCCGGGCGAAGACGGGTTATACTGCTTGTTTTCTCTAAAACTTCGTTGTTGCTCACATGTTAAGGCCATGGTATTCTCAGCATCCTTCTGTAGAACCGCATTTCTACCGGCACAAGTCTCTCCTTCATCTGTGCGGAGACGGTCCAGAATTCCCTGCAATATAGGAAGACTGGTATTACATAACAGTTCAGGACGATTATCTTTGTTTCCGATGAAAATTTCCTGTTTCTTCATACTTTGTTTAGCTTTTGGAAGGCATTTTTGCTATCCTAGTGCGTTTACGGATTTCAGTGTCGCACTTTCCATCCTCTGTTAAAACACTTCCTAGATGTTTAAATTGTACTCTTGCGAACAACTATGCATTCTGTCTTCTTTCAACTGATGTTTAGTCCTTTCTTCTCGCTTTCCTTTACTAGCTTCTGTAGGAGTTCTTATATCTTCCTTTCTGTGCCTACTATCAACATTTTCATCTGCCTATATTGTTAAGATTGTAGCTGCAAATAATAAATCCTGTTAGGACTTCTAATTCCCTCAGAATCCTTTCATTGTATATGTTGAATAAGTCCGGTGAGAAGACACATCCTTGTCTTACATCCATTTCTATTTTTATATATTTCCTGAATTAATTTTTTTTTTATCCGTATGCAGGCGGTTTGCTGCCAGTATAAGTTCTGGATTATTCTAATATCCTTTCCAAATATGCCATGGTTACCTAGCTGTTCCGGCAATTCTTTGTGGCGTATTTTATCAAACGTTTTCACTGATCGAAATATCTGAAGATGATACGTTAAAAACTTATTTCGAAAGAACAGGGTTAGTAAGAATTCTAGTTGAAGTCTGACCAGGTTCAGCGTTGCTTAATTTCGGTAATCAACTGTCCAGTAATATCTCAAACGAATTAGGAAAACTTGCAAAGAGATAATTTGAGTACCTCATGAGATTTCACTTGAGAACCGAATACAAAGTTCATCCATCTTTAGCAGTATTTTAACCTTTCGTTTTTTTAATCGTATTGCTGCAGATGATGAAAAATGGGTTTTGCATGTCAACAGAAAACGATGAAGGCAGTGATTATCGCAAAATGAAAAACCAGCGGCCACAGGAAAACCAGGGCTCCATCCAGTGAAGCCCTTGCTTTGTGTCTGTTGAAATATGAATGGTGTCGTCTATTAAGAGCTTCTGGAACATGGAAGGACCATGACTGTAGACGTTGGTTACCAGCAAACTTGATTGGGTAAACAGAGCATTGCGTCAAAATTGTTCTGCTTTGATAATTAGAAAAGGCGTTATTCTTCAACAGGATAATGAAAGGGTTTACTCTGCAAAACAAGCCCAGGACTGAATAAGATCGTTAGGATGGGAAGTTATTCCACGTTCTCCAGCCTCACCGGATTTAGCATCCACAGATATTCATTTGTTTTAGTCACAGTGGCAGAATAGTAAAAAACAAAAACAAACAAGTTAAAAATATATTTTTTTCAATCAGTTTTCGAGGAAAAAAAACCCAGGTTTCTTCAAACTTGCAATCGAAAATCTGCCTTACCGTTGGACTGCAATCATTAAAAATGAAGTGGATTCAATGTTATAAATAATATTTGAATATATTTAACTAGACTAATGATTCCTTTATGACGCCTGCTAATTTATACATAATCTCTTACTTATACATGACGCGCGGGCCTAGTACTAAACACAAGATTAAGCGTGAATATATAACAGAAATATGCTAGGCTCTATTTGAAAGTGTTTTAATTGAAATTGAAGCACGGTGGAGTAATGGATAACGGCTCGGATTGAAGAATCGGAGAGCCGAGTTCGAATTCCAGTTGAATCCATTATATTCACTTACATACCTTGGAAAAGGTATGAATACTCTTCTTCTCCCCCACCAGCTATGGGTAAATAGCAAAACAGACCGGGTATCACGCATAGCAAATAACTGACTATGGGTAAATAGCAGGACACGCCGGGTTCTATAGCCTTGCATGGCAACTGGTCTACCGCAGAAAGAAATGGCAACCTACTGCGGGAAAAAAATCTGCCTCGTCAGTCATGTATCAAAAGATACATGATTGCCTAAGCGTGTATCACGCATAGCACATAACTGACTGATAAAATATTTGTTTCTTTTATATATTTTTTATGGTAAAATGTAATTACTTTCCGAATACCTTAATATATTAATAATGATAAAAAAAGTTTATTACGTTGGGAAACACTACTTTCTGATGATTTTCAATATGACCCAAGTTCCCGTACGATCGCCAAAATTAAGCAACATCGAGCCTGGCCAGTACCTAGATGGGTAACCACTTGGAGATACCAAGATACCAAGTGCTCTAAGCTTGGGTGTGCGGGTGATGCAGTGGATAATGACTTGTTAATTGGAGAGCCGAGTTCCAATTCCGGTCGGGTTCGTTATATTCATTTACGCACAAATGCCCTTGGGAAAGGTATGAATCCAAGTCTTCTGCCACAGCTATAGTTTAATTAGTAAGACTTGTTTTACTAAACCATTATTATCTCAAAAATAAAAAAAAATTCTTACTATCTAAAAATATTTTATGGCTTTAAATAACCTACGAAGGGTTGACAAGACGTAAAAATACGAATTATTCAGTATAACACAATTGTTTATTTCCCGTAAATATATCATTTAAATTATTGATAGTTAAACGTTAAAATAAAATAAATGATTTATTTCCCTTTGTTATAGAGGCATAATTTTCATCTTACCTGGATGCCGCCATATTTGTAACCGACTGCCAATGATTTGGCGTCAAATGAGAACTGAAGACTGTAGATGCCACCATCGTCATGGGGAAAAGGAATTTCTTTAAATACTTCAACTTCTGTGAATTCCGGTTGCTTTTCTAAAACAAATAATTAAATTAAATTAATTAAATACTTAAAGACAAAAACAAATAATTAAATTCCCAAAATCATTTTTTCACGTAGTTAGAAAATACAATAGGTTATGGAGAATCAAGCTCCCCGGAAGGGATACGATACACAGAAGAAGAAGATTGTGCAAGGTTAAGGGGGTGTACAATTTGGCCTTATCAGAATATTCAACACGTCCGTAAAGAAAAAAAGAGGAAAACAAAGTAAGAAAAACAGGCAAGTACTAAATATCAGGTCATCCCATAAGTTCTGTCCGAATTTTAACTTTTTGTTAAAATGAACGAAATTTAAAGAGTATTTTATAATGTCTAATGGAGCTGAACATTATTTTTATGTTTAGATGCATTTAAACTGATGAAATTTTATTTCAGACAACTATAAAATTAAATTTTGTTTGATTAAAACCCTGCTAACATGGAAGTACCCAAGAATCATTTGAGGCACATAATGCTTTATGAGTTCAAGAAAGGAAACTCAGCAGCCGAAGCGGCTAGAAACATTCACTCAGTTTATGGAGAGGAATGTGTGAATGAAAGAACTTGCAGAAGATGGTTTGCAAAATTCAGAGGTGGAGATTTCACTCTTGAAGATGAAGATCGAACCGGACGTCCAGTTGAGTTTGATGAAAAGCTTCTTGAAGCAGCCCTTGAAGAAAATTCTGCTTTATCAGTTGAGGAATTGGCAATGGTTCTCAGTTCAAACCATACAACTGTTCGTCATCATCTTCAACAACTTGGAAAAGTTCCTAAACTTGGAAAATGGGTTCTTCATGAATTGTCTGAAAACAAGCTCAAATCCCGAGTTGACATCTGCTCTTCTCTCCATTCTCGCCAACTTGTTTCACCTTTTTTGAACAGACTTGTGACTGGCGACGAAAAATGGATATTTTATCGAAATGTTAAGCGTCGTAGACAGTGGCTTGGTAAAGGGGAAGGAGCCCAGACACAGCCGAGAAGGGAACTTCATGGGCAAAAGGTTCTTCTTTCAATCTGGTGGGATCGCCAAGGAATAATCCACTTTGAATTCTTACCACCTAATGCAACAATTAATGCTCAAATATACTGTCAGCAATTAGAGCTTTGAGGAAAAACAGACCTGCTCTAGTGAATCGAAAAGGGGTGATGTTTCATCAGGACAATGCGCGACCCCACACAGCAAGAATCACGTCACAAAAGATCGAAGAACTTGGTTGGGAGAAAATTCCTCATCCACCTTATTCTCCCGATCTTGCTCCTTCAGACTACCATTTGTTTCGTAGCTTACAAAATCATTTGGAAGAAACAGCTTTTGTAACACAGGAAGAAGTTAAAACTGACATTTGTGAGTTCTTTGAATCAAAGCCCAAACAATTTTACAGTAATGGAATTAATGGAAGGATGTCATAGATAATCAGGGAAAATACATTGTTGATTGAATCTGTAATTAAATGTAACATTTAGTCACTTGTTTTCTTTATTCAAAATTTGGACAGAACTTATGGGATGACCTGATATTATATTCAGGAATTGTTGAGGTGATTTTATGACTCTTGGTCAAGTTTCTTCTTTTAAAGACAAAGTTTTCGTACGGACAGAAGTCGACTAAAGAAGATTTCTTAATGACTCCGACTACTTCATACGCTATCTTCTACTTATATATGGTTCTGTGGGGAAAAATGGTTCCTGAGTCGGTGGATTGCTGCATTATTCTAGTTAATAAATTATTGCTTTGAAAATGAATATTTTACATTTTTCAACCAACGTTCACATTCCTGCCAACAATAAAAAAATGATCCTTTTGAAGAGTATTTAAGCAAAATTTCTAAACGGACAAACCAGTAAGGAGATACAGACAGCAAGAGACTGCAGCATGTTCACGATATCACGGCTTAAGAGAAAATTCCTTTACTCATTCACCAGTCTTCCTCACCAAGCTACGTGACACTTACACTTTCCTTTTCACTTCCCCCTTGCCTCTTCTTTTTTACACATGAAGAAATCACATTTTTTTCATGTTAACAACTACAAACAAGGATTGTAAGAAGGGTATTTAAGCAAAGTTTCTAGATGATACAGACAGCAACAGACTGCAACAGTTCACGACACCACGGTTTAAAAGAAAATTCCCTTACTCATTTAAACGTCTTGTTCATTAAGCTACGTGACACTTACACTTCCCTTCTCACTTTCTCCTTTGCCTCTTCTTTTTCACACATACTCGCGAGCAAATCACATTTTTCGTCTTAACAAGCAACTATAAACAGGGACTGTAAGAACATCAATGATCATACGCGCAAAGAAAAATTTAATTGTAAAAAACACAAAGATAAAAATATTTTATATTTAAACACGTTTTTCGTCTTTTTCGTTGTCGTGGGTTAATTTAAATCTGCAACAGTGCGAATTCCTAGTATTAAACACAAGAATGTTCGCAAATATTTAATAGAAATATGCTAAACGTGTGTTGATTGAAGAGTATAAAACACTGATGGCTTAATAACTACAAATGCTAAGAGCTGGAACTTTTCCTAATTTGATATAAGTTTTAAATGCTAATATAAAACTTATATAAGCATTTATATGCTTAGAAGCACTTAATGCTTATGTGTACTTATAAGGGGTGTTCCAGTAACTTGGACCGATTTTAAATGTGAATTAAGTTTAAGCGTCTAATTATTTTTTTCTTTTTCTTTCAGATTTAACAACCTAAGTCTTTGGCAATTTTAACCATGGAAAGTCAAACTACGTGTTAAAGTTATCGAAGCTTATTACAAAAAAAGGACGTTCAAACGGAAAAGCAATTTCGCGTACTTCGCGATTTTTTTTGTCAACATAATCGACCAACCGAGAGTGCAATTGGAAACGATATAACGTTGTTGTGGAGAGGTTCAATTCCTGCACGCGATGACGAATAAAGATGTCTGGATTTCCGGCCACATTCTAGTGCACTGCAGCAATGTTTTCAGCTGAGCGGCGTAAACGAGCATGCAATGGTGTTTTCACATCAACCACCGACTCAGTTTGTTTGAAGTTTCGAACAATTTTTCCAATTGCATTCTTGAAATTTTAACACATTATTTGATTGTTAATCGTTCCATAGTTGAAATTGCCAAAGAATTTAGTTGGTAAATCTGAAAGAAAAAGAAAAAAAATCATTTGACACTTAAACTTAATTCACATGTAAAATCGGTCCAAGTTGTTGGAACACTCTTTATAAGCATGTAAGAATTTGTTTCTTTTCTCTGTAAAGAAAGAATTTCTTTCCTTACAAGGAAAGAGTTTATCTTTTTGCGTAAATTATGAGTTAAATTTTATTTTAAGCTTGCATCAACTCGCATCGTAGCTTATTCATAATTTTTAATAAAAGTTGGCTTTTATTTTGTCTGGCATTAATTAATAGAATATGTTCGAATAATGTCACCACTATAATTTTGATCTGTATAATGTGGTCATTTTGGCAACTCTTAATGTGGATTTTTAAAGTTTTTCTTCACAAACACCACAGTATAATTAATGTGTCGGAGTTAACTCCTCCTTTAGTTCCTTAACCCTTTCACCAGGGGTCTCTCTTCCCTGGCTATAAATAGTCGCTGACCCTTCGCCTCTTCCTCTTTTTCCCTCAGGCCTTTGGGCCGACACCTGGAGGTAAATCTCTCTTTTTCCTCAGGCTTTCAGCCTTACCACCTCGCAGATGTAAACGCTCACAGAGATAGCGTTTCCCAAACGCTGGGAACACGCTAAGCACAACACACACACACGTATATAATATTCACACACACACTTTGTCCTTTGTAACTGTTTCCACGTAACTTGTTATTAATATATATATTTGTATACATATATTTATCGGTCTTGCGTTTGTTTTTCTTTGCCTTCTTCTTTGGACTTAATTAAAAGTCCAACTTTCTCGTGTAGTTGGGCCGGCTAGCAGGAAAATCTGATCCCACATGTATTCTTCTACGTCTACTCAACAACATTACAGCCACGGTCCACTACAAATGTTATGACTAGGTCTTTTTCAACTGTCAATTTCTGTGTATTTTATTTTTTTAAATTCTTGATTTTATAGCCGACTGCACGGTTCGGAAATAAAGAACAAACCTACGAGACACAAATTTGCATTCCTTACTCTTGGGAACTTCCATTACCATGCCAGCTGTCTTACCGATTAGGCGATGAAGTTCAACCTACAGGATACATTCAAAACTTTCCAAGTATAAAGGATGAGAGAAGGGGGCTTATTATTAATTTTCGCTCCGTACTGCGTAGTCACGATCGTAGAACGGCGACCTGGGGTTTGTGGTAAAAGGCCACAAAAATGAAGTGGGAAGATATACGCGTAAAAAATAAATAAAAATAATTTACAATGGTTTATCTAAGAAGCCTTTCAATTATTTCATCTGACAGACAGAAAAACGATGAAAGAAACACTAGTTAAAAATAAAAGACATCATTTAAAATACTTAATGTAAGAAATACTTCGACTATGACATCAAATACAGTGTAACCCGGATATAAGAGAAACCCGGATATAAGAGAGATTTTCTCGGGTCCCAAATTAGAGCCTGTGTTAATGTATATAAAATAGACCAAACCTGGATATAAGAGACTTCGTCTCCGGTCCAGACAACTCTCTTATATCCGGGTTACACTGTAATTAAGAAAACAACGAAAGAAATACTAGGAAAAACAATAATAATTTACAAGACTTCATCAAAGAAATTCGAATAAGACGTGAATATATAACGCACACTTTCCCGGCTCATCGAGTATATTGAAGAGTTTATCAACGCAAAGTAAAAATAATATGATGAAATAAAACAAGTAATGAAATAATAACAAGGAAATTGTTTGATCTAAAATTGGACAATAATAAAATGAACTAAAACTAGTGATAAAATAATAATAGTGAAAAAGTTTAATAAAAAGTAATAATAATAAGATGGAGTAAAACTAGTAATAATAATAATAATAATAATAATAATAATAAT